TTCTGGAAGTAATGGCTTGAAATGAAGTTTCTAATAGGCATTCTCCAGGAAAATCAGGTGAAGGGAATTTGTGATTAAAGGGATAAGTCTAAAAATCTCAAAAGCTTGTGAGCAAGGCTTGAAAGATGGACAGGCAGAGGTCAGCTGATGTCTATTTAGTCTAGGGGAAGTCACTGGTGTACTATGGAATAGCCAGTGTTGCATATTCATGCTAAATATAAAAGAAAAGTAAATGCTAGGACAAGAGGCACAAATTGTGTCTAATGATTCAGAGAAAAGTCTTTGTAATAACATTCTTCCTCCTATATGTGTTTTTACTTTTTCACAAAATTTATTCTTGTGTGTGTGTGTGTGTGTGTGTGTGTGTACACAGAGGTCAGAAGTGGGTTTCTTTTCCTCTTGCACTGGAGTTATAGACAATTGTGAGCTGATATGTGTGCTGGGAACTAAAACCTAGTCCTCTGCAAGAGCAGCAAGCAAGCATTCGTAACTGCTGAGCCATTTCTGGTCCCCTATACTTTAAATGTAAAAAGAATATTTATGTGTGTATGTACAGTGAAAAAATTTCAATATTTCTTATCTGCTATATCAACACCACTCACTACTCACTCTTGTCTTCAGGTAATTGTTATAATCGTATTTAGTTTCTTTTAAATCATTACACATTCTTCGCATCTAGATAATCATATAAAACCATTTTTTTAAAAAACTATCACCTTTTATGAAGCTAAGACATATCATACCACACATGGTCCTCTCTTTGCTTAGGTCACTTCAGGTGCCTTGGTAATTTTTCCCACTTCCACTATCCAGGAGTTTCTTATTTTGGTTTTAATTTTTCAAGCTGTAGAATATTCCATTATAAGAATGTCCCCAAACTTAACTAACTAGTTTCCTACAGAGGGACATTTGATTGGCACCTGGGGAGGTTGGATGGGAATGTTTCTTATGGGCTGTGGCATTTGAATACTTAGTCACCAAACTGGGGGTGGCATTGTTACTTGAACCTAAGGGGTGTGACCTTACTGTAGGAAGTACTTCCTGAGATGGACTTTGATGTTTCAAAGCCTCAATGCCCTTTCTGGTTTTCTTTCTCTGCTTCCTGTTTTGTGTTCAAAATGTTAATTTCGAAGCTTCACATCTGACTGCCATGCCTCTACTCTGCTATCACGGACTCATCTCTCTGGAACCAGAGGGTCAATTAAACGGTTCTTTCTATTAAGTTGTCTTGGTCATGGCATTTTATCACAGCAGTGGAAAAGTAACTAATACAGCAAGCATCTTTTGCTGTTCTAAATAATAATACAATGAAGAACATTCGCACATATGCCTTCTCACATGTGTGCAAGCCTTTTGATGGGAGGTGAAATTTCCAGGCACCATTTTTGTGCATTTGGAATTTTGACGGGTTCTGCTCAACTGCCCTCTTTAAGGGTTTCTTACTTGCCTAGCCATCTCATTTTCTAGAATGAGAGGCCCTTTAAGGCAGGTACTAAATCTTATCCATGTTTACTTCTATGACCTTAGCCAGAAAGCCTTTCATGTATGCTGGCTGCATTAGTTCTCACTTGAAGGCACAGATGGGGAAAGACCAGAGATCAAATCCCTTTAAAGAGACCTAACTGTCAGGAATATAAAGTGGGCACCTTGCATTCCTTTCCAAAAACATGTGGCAAGGAGAACAATGTGAAAATCCAGTCTAGAGTACAGTCCTCACCCCAGAGCCAGTGCATACTTCTACTGTTTTCAGAAAGGCCCATTCATTACCAACCTCCAGCTATTGCTGTCTCTAGTTTGTCTTTTTTCTAAGAGGTAAAAATATTTCCACAATTATTTGTAATTGAGATTCTGATGAAAATAATGTGTTGTTTTCAAAAAGAGTAAAGCTTCCTTCTTTTGTTCCCAGGAACAACTGACTCGTCGTGGCTCCCATGACTAGTCTGTGCTTTTGTTAGTCAGGGTCACCCTTGGAGTGGATGAGTGCTTGTGACCACATTTGCCCTGTAACACCCACATGCCAGCACAATCCTGAATATGAAGACTTCCCAAAGTTTTTCTGGGTGATTTCATTTCCTGTCTTCTAAATTTACTTTAAATGCTATGTGTTCTTTGAAAGTAGTTCTAAAACAGTCTCTGCTGTCATATCAAGGCAGGTTTAAAGACCACAGGCTTTAAAACAGTGAAAGAAAATCCAAACTTTGCTAAGTTAGCTTTTCTTTGGCAAAATGCACCTGCTTTAAGACAGTACTGTGACAGCACAGTTTTACCTTCTCTTCTTTATCCACAGCCCACATAGTGCATACTCTGCAAAAGTAAACAGAAGTCCTTAACTCCCATCTCTGCAAATGCCCTTGATGGATTCTTAACCCGGACTTGGCTCAAAAGGTACCTGCATATTCACAGAAGCAACACATATATGTCTTTCCAGGGCTGTTTACTTTCTATCATCCTAGAAGGACTAAGTAGGGCTGCCTGTGTTATTTCTATTAGCAAAACAGGAGTGGCATCAAAACAGCACAGTTTTATTCAGTTCTGAGTCTGGAGACAGATAGATATCTGGGAATTGAATAATTGAAAAAAATTCATATTGAGAAGACAGAGGCAGAAGATGAGGCATAATGATGATAAAGCAACGATTCGTTGGGCAGGGTTTCCTAATTAGGATATAAGGGTCCCATCAGGTGGTCACTACACCTTTGAGTTGCTTGGGAAGTTATGTGTGTGGGCACATGTACAGTTTTCCAAGAAGCATTATTCCCGAGGTCTCCAAAAGGGTCTGAAAACTTGCCTTGAAAATAAAGAGTAAATTTAGTTAGGTGACTATTCTTGGCCAGATACATGCTATATACATTTCTTTCTTCTCTTCCATTTCCCTTTTCAATAGGATCTTTTGGTTAAAAAGCCCCAAGGTAAAAAAAAACAAAACAAACAAAAAAGCCAAGAAGTCTTATAACTTTCAAAAATAAAACAGATTTACTTCATTTAATTATGTGTTCTTGTATGTGTGAGGGGTGGGCATGCATGTGTATGTGAATGGGGTTGCCTTTGGAAGCCAAGGCATCAGATGCCCCGGCAGCTGGTGTTATTAGATGGCTGTGAACTGTCTGCCCGGTGCGTGTGCTGGGAAGTGAGTTCAGGTCCTCTGCAAGAGCAATACTTACTCTGAAGCACTGAGCCATCTTTCCCGTCCTGGTGGTAACTTTTTTTTTTTTTTTTTTTTTTTGGTTTTTCAGTACAGGGTTTCTCTGTGTAGCTTTGGAGCCTATCCTGGCACTCGCTCTGGAGACCAGGCTGGCTTCAAACTCACAAGAGATCCGCCTGCCTCTGCCTCTCGAGTGCTGGGATTAAAGGCGTGTGCCACCAACACCCGGCCTAGTGGTAACTTAACTCTTGATTTGTGTCCTCCTTTTTTTATATCTTAGAATTCTTTCTCTGACTTTGATACAACTTCTTAATTTCTCTCTGATGTGAGCAGAAAGTGTTTGGTATCAAAAGGTAGCTTAATTGTGGCTTGCATTTAAATTAGCATTTGTTTTCATTGTTTGTAGAGGCTTGACTCAAAACTAAATAGAATTTATCCAAATGGCTGACTTCTTTCTGAAACCAGTATTCTGTTCGATGTTAAGGGTATTTTTTCCACCTTAATTTATGCAGACATTTCTATAAGCAATTAACATCCTCTAGTCACCAAACTCCTAACTGAATATGCTGTATTTGGAATTATGTATCATTGTTTGTAGTCAATAGAATTACTTATCATCTGAAAGATCTGTTTATAAAGTAAACCAAAGGGCAGGGCAAGGCTGACCCCACCTTGAGCCCTTAACTCTGGCTATAACTAGTCAAAACATACAACTGTCATCTCAGCTCCATTGAGCCTTACAGAGAAGCTAGCAAAGTCACCTTCAGAACGTGATTTTTTTTTCATATGGTTTGTCATCCACCTCCACTCCATCCCTCCATCCCCTACCACACTCATGCCACCTAATTCATTCCTTTTCTAAGAATGTTTCCCTTATTGCTTACTTATAGGAATAAGTAAACCCAGATATAAGTAAATCAAGAATAATCTGGAAGTCTCTCAAAACAAGTAAGCAAAGCTGTTTTTAATAATAAAAACGGTTACAGATGTGCATTCTTTGTTAAGGTTTGAGAAAAATGTGATTTAAGGAAAATTATCATTTACTGGGTATGTATCTATTTTTTTTCCTCCTTAGTAACTATGTAGGAATTCTTTCTCCACGTACAAGGGAGGACTTTTGAAGCTCAAAGGCTTTTAAGAACTAAGTCACCAACTTAGACATAGCAGAGGTCAAAGCCAGGACTTTTAACCTACCACACTCCTGGCTCTTTTTTTCCCACTTCCCTTTTGTTAAAGGCAAATCTCAAACAATTCTCAGTTCAATACTGAAAAACTGGAGCTAGACAAAATTCTCTCTAAACCAGAACTATTACCTGTCTCTTTCTCCATAGACTCATGTTGGTGACAATCCTTCCCAAAGAGTGTTTATAATTATGTGGATAAAAATAGATAGGATGACAAAAGAAAAACAGTAAAGTATCATTATCAGAATATATTAAAAATATGTTCTTTACAGAGACATTACAAATCAAGGTCAAAGGAGCCCTGAAATTAGAGTAGCATCTGAATTCAAACTATAGAAACATTAATATATTTGAGACTATTTGGAAGTTTATCAGGGGGACAGCTGTGGGTTTCTGGGTGCTTGTCAGAGTCGCAGGTGATGCCAAGGCTTATCCTCTGCAGTCATAATGGAAAGGAATGTTAAACTGTTAAACTGTATCCATGGATACAGATCTCTTCTCCTCACATCCAAAGTCCCTAAACCCTGTACAGGCCTCAGGGCACTTGAATTCCAGAACTGAGAACCTGTTCTGGCCTTCTGAGTAAGAGACTGCAGGCCCTTTTCCTCCCTTCCAGAGAACAACATCCTTGCTGTTTCTACCTTTCTTTTAATGGGGCGAGGTGAACAGCTTACCTTCCAAGGTCTCACACTGCACTAGGTTGACGTAGTCCTGCTGAGTTAGGAGGCTGGCTTTGCATCCTCGCACAAGGCCCTCCAGGTAGCCATGGTCCACATTGAAGTACAGTTCTGCAGTCTCACGCATATTGCTCAGACTCAAGAGGCAGCCACAGAACGCTGGCCCTGGTCTGGGAAAGTGTGGGTGTTGCAGTCACTTGCCTGATAGTCAGGGTGCTACTAACTAGTTTGCTCCAGTTTCAGCAGCTTTCAACACTGTGCCTGGGTCTTGTTTATACATCAACAGTGAGTCAGCCAGATGGTTTAAGTACATCAGGGAGAAATTCTGTGTCAGGAGGAAAGGAGGTAAGAGGAGGGGTCCAGGTCATCTCTCCCTCCCACCAGCAAGGTCATGACCATTTTGTCATTTGAAAGACTTCAAATACCAGGATGTTGTGTAAATGTGTTTTCCACATCTGTACTTTAATTATGTTGCATCCACTTCATTTTTTTTGAGGACTGTTAATCCGAACAAGTTTCCTTTTTAAAATTCTGGAAAATGCTGGGTGTGATGGCTCGTGCCTTTAGTTGTAGCACTTGAGAGACTGAAGCAGGAGATTTGCCATGAATTTGAGGACAGCTATGGTTACAGAGTGAAACTCTCAAAAAATAAAAAAGGCAAAAAGCATTAAAAAAAATAACAGAGGCAGAGGAGGTAATTCTATAATACAGTGTATTTGTTAAACAAATAATTAGCAATGCCTTGAAATTGTCATTTCTTAACCAGTCAAGAATCAGAGCCTTACATTTACATAACAATAAACCACACAATTGGGCCGAAGATAATGCATTCTTCATTTTCTTTTTTCTTGTGGCTACTGTGAGACACATGATGACTCTCCAAGTCACAGATAACAGATCAGATGTCAAAAGCTATGAGACAGCTCAGAAAGCACAGCTGGCAATGCGTTGGGTATCAACAAAGCTGACACTTAATTGCTGAGTCCCATACTCTATAAGGACTACTTGTTTCTCCAATATACTTAGCTCACAAACTAACAAATGTCTTCAGTGTGAAGTTCTTAGGTGGGATTGCCTGTGTATTTTCTCAAATGCTCACATACATAGAGTTAAGGAATCAGAACTTCTCTGGGCTTTCTCAGTATGTCCACAATGACTTGGAGTAGAAAAGATCCAATCAATATAAATGCTGTTATGGTTTTTTAGAACCACAGAGAATTATACTTAGCTTTAAGTATCGCTCACATCTGAAAGTCTTCAACTGATGGGTAACCAAGGTTCTTTTTATATTGCCCTCCCACAATTCCTCCATCTGTAAACATCCTGAGTGTATTTTATCAGGAATCTTATGAGCTTATCTATCACTTTCATAAGTGTAAATATGACTGTATGTTGTCCTTTTATATAGTAAAAATGGATGGAGCTTACAAATAATGTATAACAACAAAGTTTTTTTTTATCATCTTATTATGTTTCACTATTATTTATAACCTTGAGGTTATTATCTCTATGGTAATTCCTCTGTTTGCATTCTTTTTTTTTTCCAGTGCTGAATACTGAATCAGACCCTGGAACATGCTGGGCAAACTATACCAACAGGGAAACTTTCTATCTAACAGTGAGCTCCCATCTATCTCTTTTTGGCCTAGTCAGTTAGGGGTATCTATTCCATGAAAACAAGAAAAATAGACATTTTCTTTTAGTATTTAAAAACTTCAAAAAGGTTTTACACATGCATATATATGACTATGTATATTTATATGTATTTAAATATATGTATATATTTTTCATATATATGTTGTATTAAAATAATATATATATATATATATATATATATATATATATATATACCGACACACACACAAACACATACACATAAATACATATGAATGTCTGCCAAGTGTGTGCAGGTGCCTGAATAGGCCAGGAGAGACATCAGATCCCATAGAGCTAGAATTATAAGCAGTTCTGAGCCATCTGATGTGGATGCAGAGAACTGAACCCTAGTCCTCTGGAAGAGCAGGAAATGCTCCTAACTTCTGAGCTCCTCTCCAGTTTCAGCATTTAATTATTTTATCTGAACCAGAAAACAACAACACATTCACATTCTGTAGAACAAATGAAGTTCAGACACATGCTGCCATTGTTCCAGTTTTAGGACAAGTATACAATTGTTAACTATTGTTAACTAGCGTCATCACATTATGCACAAGCACCCCAGAACTTATGTGCCCCCAGGGAACAGTATCTCTACATCCCTCCAAACCCCATCTCCTGAAATTCTAACCCTTATTTCTATTAATTCAGCTTTTCAGATTCTACATATAAGTGAAATCAGTGTTTATGTTCTCAGTCCCACAACTGGATATATGTAGATAAAGATATTGATGTCAGTATTCCAAGAGAATATTTATACTTCTGTGTCAATTTGGTGCTATTCAAAGTAGCCAAGGCTTGCAAACACCTGAGGTATTCAGGTGTACTTGAGCAAAATATTATGTTTTGTTTGTATATTAATTAAAGCTTGGCCTGATTTAGCTCATATCTTCCCTCACGATGTGGCAATACTCTTCAGGGAGACCATCGCATGACTTGTCATGTGTCTGGCAAAGCATCTCAGTCTGATGAGAGAACTGAAGGAAACAAATCATCCAAATTAACAGATACACATTTATGTGGGTACAACTTCAAAACCAAAGTGAACGCTCACAATCCTGAAGCATCTGTTTTCTTCAAATACGAAAGGATATTTCGTTTTAATTTAACCCAGAGTCTTTATTCTGTGAGTTGCAGAGAAATTAGTTAACTGAATTTGTTTTACTCGGATTTATTTATTTTATAGTCCTGCCTAGCACCTTGAGTGCTGGGATTAAAGTCTATGCCATCCCACTTAGCTGTTATTTTCTCCTTTGTTCAGTTTTGAAAAAAGTGAAACAATACAGAAATATATGAGGTAAAAGCATGCTAACAAGCACTCCAGAAATAAACTCCTAATGGTAAGTTAGGGGACA